CATGAGTGTTCATCTTTTCCGCCTTCTTCCTTTTTGTGTTCGCCTTTAATAACAAGCACGCCATTTTCTACCGATACTTTTACATCTTCCTTGGACAGCCCAGGCATGTCGAAACGCATCTTGATTTCGTTTTCATCATCATGAATGTCCCAAGGAGTGCGTATTTCCCCTGCTCCTGATGCTCTGTTTCTTCCTGGAAATGTCATTGTATCCTCGAATAATATGTCCATAGTGTCTATCATCTGCCGCATTGTTCTCATCGGCGACATTGGATCTAACACTCCTGTTTGTCACATGAAACAGTTGTCATTACTAAACGAATTGAACAAATTAATTAAATGCTGCTACTACTAGTATAGTACCCTTGGATGGCCTATTTATTTAGTTTGAAATTTGAATTGTGTCATATAAATTGAGATAAATGAAGAAAGCAGCAGAAATGAAATGGAAGGAGCAATGAGACTCACCAAAAGGGGAAACATCAAAAGCCATCCTCGTAGGACGGCGTTCGACAGCAGTGCCTTGGTTGTTTCCTCCTTGAGCGCTGCTGTGGTGTACGTCGACTGATGTATCTTTGTTATCTCCGGTGGCCTGAGCTACCAGCCTAGTCATCGGCCTTCTCATGGACGGAATGAAAACAGAGCAAGGTGCAGCTACATTTTTGTTAATCCTAGAGGTTCCACCAACACTGACATTGGACGCTAATGGAGAAGATGTAAGAATTGTGCAAGCCATTATTACTCTTATTTATTAGAAAAATAAAACAAACTAGAAAGAAAAGCTCGATCACAGGAAGTGGATATCTTCTTCTTTGTGAATGATTTTCGTTGCTTCAGTAGTGCAATAGAAGGAGGTATTTATAGAGAGAAGTGAGAAGAGTGTGGAGGAATCGTGAAAGTTTTATTTAGATAAAACTCTCAAATGGTGATTGCTACGGTTTTCTCGATCAATCTCCTCAGCTTTCTTCGGCATTCTCGAAACATCGCATATTTCCCTAATTTTAGAAAAATAGGGTCTCTATTTCAGCATTTTTATGTTTTCACCCCATTCTTTTCTTAGGAGGGATAAAAAGAAAATTAATACTCCCTCCGTCCCTTTTTAGTTATAGTAGCTTTCTTTTTTGAAAGTCGAACAATATGAATTTTGACTAATATTTTAAAATACATTTTTTCATCATATTGATATGAAAAATGTTGTAATTAAGTAGTATTTTTGTATAACTTTTGAATATCTAATATTTTATTTTAAAATATCGAATTAATGTAATCTAATTTTAGTTTTAAAAATGAATTAAATTGTCTCTCAAAAAATGTAACATTACAACTAAAAAGGGAAGGAGGGAGCACTACCTCGTTTCCAATTTTTGTTTAGGTGTTTTATGAATTAGAACTTAAATGAAAGCAAGCTTTTTAAAATGGTATAGTCTTAGGGCTTCTGTGAATTAATCATTTCTACGTTGCGTTAAATGTCAACTTCAAAACTATGTTTCCCCTCTTTTTTTTTTGAAAAACTATGTTTCTCTTATCGGATTCTACCAAATACTATTTTCCATTTTTAAAAAATAAGTAGTGTGTTTAGAGCTTACACACATTTCTTTAAAAAAAACTATTAATTTTTTAGAAAGTAAAATATATTTTTACTAATTTATTCTTAATAAAAAATTTTTAAAAATGTAGCTCTTTAATAACTTTTGTTTATGTAAAACCTTTTTATTTAAATAAGGAAAAAATCGAAAGAATATTAATAATATCTTTTTGATTACATGAAATAACACTAATTTTGAAATTAAGAAATAATAATAAAAAATCACGTATTTTGAAATAGAAGAAGTATGTTCTTACTTCTTACCTTACACGAATTTGACGATAATTGTATGATTAGTAAGTACTTGACATTTTCCTAAGAAATAAAAATGTTGCAAATATATCTAATTTTTAGAAGGTGAATTAGTTGATGTCCCATTTTGTTCCGAAAACAAGTTCAATTGAAGTGTTGAACCTTAAAGATAGAAAAAAAAAAAAAAATTTGGCCATGGAAGGGGTAATAAACACACTAATGCATTTCTTCATCCCAATAAATGGAAGGTATCACTTCAAATGATGAATCAAAGGGAACTAATCAATCATTTATCTCTATCACAACAATTTTAAAGCTTAAATATGATATGTAGGAAATATTTTAAAATGTATGAGGTGCAACTAGTAAAACTTGTATGAGAATATTATTTTATTAGTTTATATTCTAACCTAGGAATCCGTGTTCTATTTTTCTTCTTTGCCTTTGATTTCTCTTTCATGCCCTTCTCTTTCCTTTTTTTTTTTTTTTCTTTCTTATTTTCGGTTTTTTTCCTAAATCTATTTTTGAAATTAATTTAATTACTGGTGTATATGAAAAAATAATTTAATTTTTTACTTATTTATTTTAACAAAAAACATTTTTAAAAAATTATCATATTTATCATCAAATAACTACATAGGTATCAATAGTCAAATTTAAAATATAATTAATAAGACTAGTTTAGTAAAATGAATCTTTAACACAAATACAATTAAAGCTATATATAAAACTTATAAAAAAATAGTGAAACAATTGTTATTAAAATTGCACATTAAAAATTAAGGGGTTATGAGCACAGAAAACATGATTATGATTATTATTATTTGGCATTTGGCTCTAGAATTCAAACATATATTTTTTACTGTATTTGAAATAAATGGAATTATAATTGAACATAGAGTCATGTTTTATTTTTGCAAAACAAAATATTCGAAATGATATTCATGTTTGAATGTACTTAAATACAATTTTAAAAATGAAAAGTGAGTTGAAAAATTAGATTATACTAACATGTTTTCCAAATTTGAAATATATATTCGAGTTGAAAAAGTTGTATTCAAATTTTCATTATCAAACATCAATTTTCAAATTAAGTGAAAAAATATTATTTTTAAGAAATAATTCTTATGTTTGAATGAGTCCTAAAAGTAGAAGTTAAAAAAATATGAAATACTACTAAGATAATTTTTTTAAAGTATGATAAATGAAAAATGAGAGAAAAAATAATAATTTTAATGGTCAATTTTCATGACATAAGTGACAATTCAAAGAATTAACTTGAACTTTTTTATACTCTTAACCTTTAATTATTTAAATAAAAATAAGATTTTTTTATATAAATTATTTTCATATATATACAAACTAAGGGAGTAATTATATTGGTTTAAAAAAGATTTAGAAAAAACATAAAATGAGAAAAGAGAGGAAAGAGAAATAAAAGGCAAAGAAGAAAAATATAATGTGAGTCTCATAAGTCAGAATATAAATCAATAAACAATATCCTCATACAACTAGTACTAATTGTGCCTCATTCATAATAATTTTTTTCGAGATGTAGTACTTATATAATTAGTTAAAATTGAATGGAAGGAATCACTTCAAATGATGAATCAAAGGGAACTAATCAATCATATATCTCCATCACATCAATTTTAAAGCTTAAATATGATATGTAGTACTTATATAATTAGTTAAAACAATTTTAAAGCTTAAATATGATATGTAGTACTTATATAATTAGTTAAAATTGACGAAGGTGATCAATCATATCTTAAATCATTAAAAAATAAGTTTGTTGAGAGTGGGATTTGAACCCACGCCCTTTCGGACCAGAGCCTTAATCTGGCGCCTTAGACCAACTCGGCCATCTCAACATATAATATACCTCATATAGTTTCTCAATTTATTCAAATAAAACATACCCTCTTTTTTTCAAAGAAAGATTTCGTACTATGTTTCGTAATTAATGTAAAATGTTACCGAATCTTGAACATGTTTGGTAATAGATTAGTTTACCTTGGAGAAATAAATCTTACAGAGTTATAAAATTAGTACTTATATTAACTGTTTTGTAATTTTATTTGGCTCAATTGGGTGACTATCTACATTTTCACCTTGTTGGTGAAGAGGATACATTCCCATTTTGTAATCCCCTACCACAATTTAAAATAAATAAATAATGGTACTAATATATACTGCATTTTTTTATATCAAAGAACCACACATTATGTTTAGAAATTATAGTCTCACATGACCAAAAACGGAGCACAGGGTGTACGAACTAGCTTTTATTATCGTCTCCAAGTATACTATTATTCACAAAAAACTCTCTAGAACTGTTTGATTGCTTGCATGCTTAATCAGATATTCACTTTCTGCTACCATGTGTGAATTTATCGTCGTTGATCGAATATTATAAGTAGCTGGTTCCAATATCTCAAGGAGTCGATGATTTCGTCAACTTTTTTTCCCCTAACGGAGTGACATTAATATAACGGAGCTACTGCAGGGTATAGTTGTCTGTCTATCAAGTCAAATGAGATATTTTTCAGCCAGAAGGGCACAGTCCTAAAGACTAGCCAGCTCAAAAGAGAACAAACAATCGTAGGGAAATTATCATCTCTAATGTAATCTAACGTGAGGATAAAATATAAGATATACGAAGACCTTACTCTTGCCTATGTGGAAAGTAGGGCCATTATGTCTTTCTATCAAAAAGATAAAAAAATAACTAGGCCCTGTTTTTCATACACTCAAATTCCATTTCATCAAAGTTGTGTTCTGAACTGTACTGATACGGTGATAAATAGTACTTAAGAACCCCAAATGTGCGTAATTACATAGTTCATTTTCATGATACACCCGAGATCAAATCATTCTAATTCATTTTTGATGTGTTCAGACGCACACCCAACAGTTCAAGAATCAAGAACATAAGCAAGGCAGAAAACTGTACACTAAGGACATACAAGTGTACATATTTCCTAAACAACTTGTACGATATTAATAGCTTAAAAGTTCTTTGATCTTTTGTTTGGGAACTGAGAATTGCCTGAAAATGAACCTTAGACAGTCACTTTGTAAACTTCTGGCATCAGTTGATAGAAAGCAAGAAAAGTAAAACAACACACAAAACAAAAAAAAGGAGGAGCCATTCTGGCATTCTATCTTAACCACTGGAATTGAACAGTTTCAGGTGTAATATTACTTGGAGCTGCGAGAATTGGGCTGTTGCAAACACTGCCATCAGAGTGAGAAAACACCGTCTTTTGAAGAACCCCAGATGGTGATGAGACGGTCGTTGCTGCAGGGCTGATCGAATCGCCATTGCTTGTGTATGATGAGGTTGGGTTGTCACCAAGACTAAAAGATGAGCTAGGATGTAGAACTTCGGCTAATGGTCCTCCAGACGCAAAAGGGAAACTGTCCCAAAACTTGTGCTGATTAGTATTCATGAATCTACTATCCAATCCCATATCCTCATCAAGGACATCACCAGCAGCCATAGCAATAGACAAAGTAAGAGATGATGGCGAGATATACCCTAGCGATGGCCACAACAAAGCCTCCATATTCTCATTGTTACTATTGTTGTAGACATTATCATTGGACCATCCGTTAATCAAGTCCCTAGAGTTATCTTTTACAAATTCAGGATTTGTCATGAAATTGAACTCACCGGTGTGCTCAGTTCTTTCCATATCTCTACTTGCCAAAAAATTCAATGCCTCTTCCCTGTAGCCATGCGCTGAGTAACCTGCATTTGAGTCCATCAAATGTTGCCATTGTTGTCCAGAATCAGCCTTTGCTACCAACTCACCTTCCATCATCCAGCCCGAACTTCTTTAACCACACAAAACACAAAACAATATAACGTAACATAGATAAATTGGGACTTAAACTCAAACTAAGAATAAATCAACAGCTAAAAGAGAACCTGTGTAGTTCATTAAAAGAGGGATCAGTGGAGATATTTCCATTTCCCCCAATCTTATCATCATGGAAAAACAGGGGACTCTGAATTTGTTGAAAGGTAGATCTAAGAGGCTGCTTTGTTGAACGGTTGTTGATTTGACTAGCAGGTGTGGTGGGTATAGTAACAGCCATGGCAGTAGATTCAACTTGAAGGCGAGTCTTCTTATTGTCACTGGCGTTGCTAACACCGGCATGAACTTCCACATGCTTTCTTGAACGGGGACGACCTCTATGCATATGGCGCTCACAGTACTTCTGACGAGGAGCTACATCTCTCGAGCATCTCCATTTTTTGCCGTCCGTTCTTTTGCACCTTCCTGGCTCTAAATCCCTTATATTTGTTGTGTATCGCTGGCCTTGTACCGATCCAGTAGCCGCTGCACCTAAAAACTCCATCAATCAGAGGTAAATAAAGGGAAAAAAAACAATGGGAAAATAACCGGCTATTACATGTAGTATGTGAAGCTCCAGAGCAAATTGATAAGAGGAGATCTGGAGGAACAGATATAGCTGAGACCATGTACTTATAAATCATAGCTTGCCTCTCCAGTTCCTTCCACTGTGCCCATGTAAAAGGGTACCCCAGTGCAGTTGCCATTCCTCCTGCAGAGTTTAACAACAACACAGAAAACATACATTTATTCCCCAAAGGCAGCAGCAAACAGTATTAAATTCAGATCTTTCTTTTTCAACAAAGGGTTGAAAAGGAAACATCAAGAACAAAAGAAAGTACTACTTTAAGGTCATGGGGACAAAGGAAAAAAAAGAGAAAAGCCTTTTTACCTTGGGAGTTGGTAGCAACATCAAAAGGCTGCAAACTCCTTACAACAGCTGCTGAAGGAGGTGGAGGAACTGGAGGAAGAAGACTAGCTTCATCACTAAAAAATGGCATTTTTTTAGCCCCACCATCAGAGGATGATGAACAGTGAAGATCTTGATGATGACCCATCATGAACTTAGAAGAGAATGATTCAGTATTCTACAGTTGGTAACTGTAACAAATAGTATAGCAAATTTTTTCCACCATCCAGGGTTGATATTGTTGCCTTGTCTAAAAGGCTAAAGCCATTAATAGCACCCTCCTCCTCTACACACACCCCTAAAAATGGAAAAAGAAAAAACCCTTTGAAAGTCACTGGCTTTCCTTGTCAATGACTAGCAAAAAGGCAAAACAGAAAAAGAGATATAAGACCAAACCCTCTTAGGAAACTCTTCACTTTACCCTCAAACTCATCATCTTTGATTTCAAAACTTTTTTTGTTACTACTATGATGCAGACAAATGGGGGTTAAATATTACTCTACAATTTTTAAGTGTATGAGGAAGATGAGAATTATTTTTGAGATTTTTTTAAAGTTTTTTTGTTTTTGCCGCCATTCTTGGCCTTTGGTTTGCTTCCATTCTTCCAACATTCGCACCGTTGTGTTTATAGACAGAAAAATACAAGTAACAAACACTTGTTCTCTCTCTCCTTCATAATTGCATCATCTATCGTTTTCTGGGGGATAAAGTTTCACCACAGTACTACACCTTTTCCCATTATTTTATTAAGTTATTTTTCTCTTTTAATTTATTTGACATATTTTAAGATCTAAAATATTACTAGTTTCTGAAAATATATTTATATACGATAAAAAGTCCTATAATTCATGCATCACCAATGGACTTTGGATATAAAATTTAAGAAATATTTTTTCAATTTGAAGTTAAGTACTGGTCTCCCTACTTCAAAAAGATGATCAATTTTCTTTAGTTTGTTACAAAAAGAATGATTTTTTTCTTATTTTGACAACATTTTAATTTTAATTCTTCACTTGATATATTTTGAACACCACAAAATTAAAAAGCATTTTAATATATTTGACATAAATTTAATTTAGAATTACAGAATTAAAAAGTCTTTTTTATTTTCTAAAAATTCTGTGTCAAGTCAAACGTAAGCAGTATCTATATTGATTAAAAAAATTGTGCCAAAATAAATATAGCTTAAAGAACTTGGAGCTGAATTTAGTCTTATGGAGTAACTTGGAGCTTAATTTAGTCCTATGGAGTAACTTGGAGCTTAATTTTGTATTAGTTAGGGTTTGACCCAAGTTTTAAAATATTTTTGGCAAATAATATGTGTGTCAAGTTTTTTGTGAAATTACACCATGTGTTTGGCCCCAAGTTTTCTCAAGAATATTTGGCTATTTCAAAATATATGATTATACTCATAAATTTTAAAAACTATTAAAAAATACCCATAAATTTGTATTATTTATTTATAATGATTATGTTCCGTTAAAAAAATAACCTTATAACATAATTGATAACAATCAACAACAACAAAATAACAATATATGCAAGAGAAATGCATTAATCGCATATTCAAACTTGTCATTGATTCGGTTATAATTATAACCCATTAAAAACAAATTGTTCTTTTTTCTCAATTTTGTCACTCAAACAGATTGTTTTTTTCTCAATTTTGTGACTCAAATTAAAATGTTATGGGTATTTTTATAAAATATAAAAATTTGGGATAATTTAAAATCTTTTAAAATTCCCAAATACTAGAACTTCGCCAAAAAACTACTGGAGTAATTTTTTTTTCTAGTATTTGAGAACTTGGAAATCTTGACAAATATATTTGTCAAGGTATGTAATCAAACATCACTTTTCGAGTTTTTCCAAAATTTTCTCAAGTATTTTTTGGACCAAACGGGTCCTTAGTCTTATGTCATACTTTTGGCTAATATATAGGTTAATCAAAACAAAGCCATAATAGGTTAATCAAAACAAAACTTCAAATATTTATGAGTATCTTTTACTTTATGTAATTATAAATATGTTATGTAGAAAATTAAATATAAAATATTGTAAAAAAATATTGTTTCCAAAATAAATTAAAATAATTAAACAAACAAATTAAAACGAAAGGAAGTATGTTATATAAGTTAACAAGAGGAAGTACTCCATAAATAAAAGCTAAGGAAGTTCACGATTTGATTAAAATACTTTACACGGCTAAGCAACATTACGCACCTTTCCCTTTTATTTTCAGTTTGCTATTACTTGTTCGTCATAAATTTAAAACACAATAACATTTCAGGTTTAATGAGCGTTTGATCAGAAGAATTATTCATATATTATCTTTTATTTTTTTTAAAAATTGATATTTAATCATAAAAAAAATAAAAAAATTTAAGTTAGATTTGAAATTTAAAAATACTTAAAACTTGTTTTACTTTTTTTTTTTTTTTTTATTCATTTCACTTTTATGTTTCTATTATTTTCAAATTATGGCCTGAATAGTTTTCAGATTTATGCTGCTCACTGGTAAAGGTTGGTGCAGTCAGTTAGATTTATACATTCTTTTCCGTATCAATTAGTATAAAGTAATGATCATGTACTATCCATCTTTTTACTCCTATAGTATATTTTGATCAAAAACATTTTTTTTAGACATTCTATTTATTAAGAAAATAAGTGATGATCTAAATAATTATATAACTATTTAACGTTTAAATATGTAATTTTGGATCATGACTTTAATTCTCAAATTCTCCAAAATAATATTAATAATGATTTGAGATATGAAATCGTGATTATTCCTTTTAAATGTAAAACTTGATCCAAAAGTTTATATTTGTAAAAATTGTAAAATTACTCATGTTCGGCGTGAAAAATTATTTGTACCATGTGTAAAATTATGTGTATTTGAAATTTTGTAATTACAATGAATTATTTATAAAGGAATATGATAATATACGGCATTGTCTAAAGATATTTCAATATTTTATTTATGAAATATGATTTGCTTATTTGTTAGATTGCATAAGCATCCAGAAAATTTTGATAGTTCAACAACTTGTGGTTTATATATAATTATTAAATGCCTAAACAAAACTTCAAATTTATGATCCTAACATTCCATTACAAAGCTACTTTTGACCTTAGCTTTAGAATTAAGAAGTACCTTTTCTATTCTCAAATTAAATGTCAAGATTAAACACAAGATTTTAAAAATAAATAAAAAATTTAAATTTACAATCTAAAATTTAAAATATATGAAAATTTAAAATCTTATGACTTAATCTTGTCATGTAGAATATTAAAAATTTAAAAACATTATATATATATATATATATATATATATATATATATATATATATACTCTTTTAAATAAACCAAATAGATTTATGATAAAACACTTATAAATTGGGGCATCAAATAATTTTCAAAAGGAAAGATGCCATATCCCACATATTCATATGTACTTTCTTTGTCCTAGTTCATGTGACATTTTTTGAATTTTGATATTTAAATAAGTTTATTTTTGTTTGTGAATTTTTTGTATATCTTTGAAATATTTTTAATTGTCAATTATTGTGTCTTATAATACTATTTACGTAATTTATAAATATATAAATTTTATTTCAAAAAATTTGAAAATTCCATACACAAATTTTTAGACAAATTTAAATTATTTGATTCTCAAAAAATGAAAAAATATTACATAAATTGAGATAGAGGAAATACTAAAATAAAATACATCTACCAGTAAATAAAAGAGGAAAACGGGGCACCGTCAAATATGTAATGCAATGAATAACGTTGCTTTTTCTTTAAGTAAGAAGTGTTAAATTTGAATTATTATTTATAAGTATAATAAAATAAAGGAAAAAAGGTAAAAAAAAAAATATCCTTAAACTATGCAAAAAGAACAAAAATGCACTTTGTTTGTAGTTTGGTCCAAAATTATCCTTATTGTCAATACTTTGATCTAAAAATGCCCTTATTGTTATTTAATGGGTCAAAAATATTCATTTCCAAATAAATAAGTATTTATTTTCTTTTTAACCTATTCTTTTTTCTAATAATTTTTTTTTAAAAATTAGAAAATGTTATCTTACTTCAATTCAGAAATAAAGTAAAAAATTTAAAAATATTTCTTTATTTTTATAATTATGTTTAATCGTTATAAAATACAAATTAATGATGGATATATTATGATATTTTATATATGGCATATATTATATGTCAAAAGGGTATATGAAATTATTCTATTTTAATTGATAAAATGAGATTAAGAAGAAAAAAAATATTTCCTACATTTTTTTTTGTTAACGTGATTTTAAAAGAAAGAAAACTAGAACATGGTTCTTTAATAATATTTTAATTAGGAAGAAGATGTGTTTAAAAAGGAAAAAATATATATTTATTCAGAAAAGGGCATTTTTGACCCATTTAGTAATTATAAAGGTATTTTTGGACAAAAGTATTGATTACAATGACATTTTTGAACTAAAATATTTGATGATAAGGATATTTTTTAGCCAAATTATAAACGAAAGACATTTTTATTTTTTTCACATAATTTAAAAATATATTTAACTCTTTTTCCTAAAATAATTAAGTAATAAAAAGTGTTTCACTAAAATATAAAGCTCATGCAAACAAATATCAAACCTCCAATATGAAAAAACCAAAAAGAAAAGAGGAAAATGGTGAGGGGATAGAGAGGCACAATTAATGGGCGGGGACAGTTGTTGGGTAGGATGAGCTGTCCCTATTCCCCCTAATAGGACAAATAGGTCAAGTACTCATTCTATTCTGATTTTCGTGATATATTTTAAATTTCGAAATTTAAATAAATTTATGTTTTATTATAATTTTTTAATATATTTTAAATTATTATGACTTATAACACTTTTATATAATTTATAAATATATAAATTTTATTTCATAAAAATTAAGAAATTGATATTATTTACGAATTACGATAGATGAATAAATTATTAATAAACTTTGACTTTTATCATGTCTATCAAAAAATTAAATTACAAATGTTATGTGTACGACACGAAGGAATCAAGTCCTACGTAATACACTGGAGAAGTGGAGATGACTAACATTTATAGAATGCAAAATTAGATTTCAAGTGCAAAAAGAAACGAAACATTAGCATAATCGCATGAAACGAAAGAACTTTATAATTAGGAGAAGTCATATGTGAAAGTTGAAATAAATATGAAAACCAAGTTCATTTGAGATTGAATTTCTTGATTATGTTTCGATGAATTTTGGAGCAAAAAAACGAGCATTTTGATCATTACATTTCTTTTATAATATGTACACAATATCATTAAAGATGAACGTTATTCACATAAATCAAAATTTATTCCTAGAAAATAGTAGTTAGAGATGGCTCTCAAATTTCTTGCTTGACTATTCTTAAATTGCAACCTATTTACTTTAATAAA